TTTACTATAAAATGAATTTCATTTGGCAGAATTATTACTGCTTGAAAAATTCTTCTCCGGTTCTTAGCTGAGAACCGAGAACCGCGGTTCGGTTCTAAGTTGGGAACCGGAACCGCGGTTCTTTTCGGTTCGGTTCTAAGTCGAGAACCGGAACCGTGGTTTCGGTTCCGGAACCGGGAACCGAACATCCCTACGTAAAAGTCAAATATAATGCTTTTTAATTCTTTTTGGGGAATCATTACGTTGGTTAGCTTGCCTACCTTTTCCTATCAAATAAAAGGTCTTTGTTTCTGTGTGTTGCAAGCAAGGTGTTTTGTTTGTTAAACATTGAAAATAGTATCAGTAATGAATCAGTTGGCCTACACTCTGTATCACCCTCAGTTCATCGTGAAACTGATTGTAGATTCCGTCTGGATACCCAGTAGGAACTATCTAACTGTCAGCAGAACTGAGACAATTTACCGATTCCTTGGTTGTTTTTTCATTTTCCAAGATACAATTCTTACTTTTGATTCCTTGTTTAAGGTGAAAAATTTTATGGTGATTTTAATCTTGATTTTTGCCATACAATTCTTACTGTACACTCAGGTAGACATTTTTTTAGACCAAATGCACTGCTAAACGCGTTTTCTTACAACTGAACTTTCTTATAACTTTGGATGCGTTAATCGGTGATAAATGCGTTTAAGGGGGGCAACCACCTACAAACCTGCCCTCAAATTATGCAAGTTTGTAGAGTGCGTTGAGTACTATGTATCCTCAAGAAATTTCGGCGGTCCTATGAATATTGGTGGAATTATGAATTTTTTAACGTTGGACTTTGGTCAAAATTTTCCGTCTAGTGGCTGATTTTCGATATTTCATAAGTCATTCAGGGATAATGACAAAAATGTGATTTAGGTATGTTTAGATGCACAATTATTCATAGTTATTATGTATGTAAAAAAGAAAGAAAAAATATCTGCCTAATAGACTATGTATAAATTTTTTCTCTGAAATCGATGCCAGTTCAGTGTAGTCTGGCCGTTTGCATTCTGTTTTTCTTCAACCTCTTTTGCTCAAATATAACGAACAATACATCATTTGAATCAGCTGCTCAAGCGCTACAAAATCCTGTATTTGCTTTTTTAATTTGTCATGGATGTGGGGTTTTTTCGAGATTTTTTCATATATGGACTGTTATATTAATTAACAGCCCATATATTATTGAAAACGAATGCCGGTGACTATTTCTTTAATAACTTTTGAACAGTGCACTTCGAAGACTTGCGGTTTTCAGCATTGCATAGAAAAGATAATTAGCTACAAGTTGACATAAAAATATCTTAGAAAATACCGCCTGCAGGTGGTATACCTTATTAGTCTATGAAAGAGTAGGTCGTAATTCTAAGATCTGCCAGAATGCCTTCTGCATTTCTCATATAGATATGTTAGCGCAAAATGTTCTACAAACTGGGAACTAAGCGACCTCTTAATCTTCGGTGGTTCAGGAATGCCATCGGATTTTCTCGAAGCCCCAGGATAGATATTTCCTTAGGTGTGATAATCTCTAAATTAGTCTGATAGACTATTGATTGAAAAACAAAACGTTTTTACTGGTTTCTAAACGAGACAATTAATTTGCAGAAAATAAAAAACTTTTGTGAATTAAAGCTTTTTTTGAAGATTTAGTCTATTCATAGACACAGCGTGCAGTTGTGTTTTTGTGACTGATATGGGTGACCATTACACTCAGCTATCTTATGAACCTAGCACGTAAACTTCGAAGTGATCTACTGTCGCGATATGACATCCGAAAAAAATATCCGTTGGAAGGGACATTCGGCCTTATAGAAAAATCGAAGGAAAGAATTTTGATCTGAAATTTTGCTCATAAATAGGTCTCGTGATCCTTAAAATGCCTAGGAATTTTCAGCCAAAACGGACGCTTCCTTCTCGAGATACGACACGTTGAAGAAAACTCGATTTTGTGAGTATTTTGTGAAATGTGATCGTTTTTTTCCGTATTCAATACCTTGACAAGAAAGCATTCGTTTTGGCTGAAAATTTCAGTTCACTTTAAGGATCATGAGACCTATTTATGGGCAAAATTTCAGATCAAAAGTCCTTTCTTTCGATTTTTCTATAAGGCCTAATATTCCTTCCAAGGGCATTCTGTAACTCTGGAAGAAGAACAAGCTAATTCTTTTTAGCTATAGTATGAGCATACTGAGGGTCCATAATCTCTATTTTTGTGATCAGTTTCTTCCCTTTGTCAAAAAAAAACCCTCTCGGCTTTTAAGGGTTAAAGATTGCATGTGTCTATTGTGTCAAAATTTTCTGATGAAAAACCGCACGATCTTACAAAACCTCTCCAAACTTAACACTAATGTCTTTCAGCTAATTGCTTCCTTTACTTAGATTGAATAAAAGCATATGGAATCGCATCTTGACACTTACTCAGAATCACTTCGTTGCACATCAGTTTTGATCATTTCCTTCTAATCAAAAAACTGATTTGTGGTGTTCGGATGTCCATCTATTATCTTTTATTAGAAAAAAATATAAAAATCTAGAGTAAAAATTTTAATCTATAAATGAGTTTGAAATCATTTTATTACAGTTAGTGAAAAGAAAAGATCATTCAATCAAATTGTTCGATATGTTAGACATGGATTGCTCACTTATACAATTCGTATACAATCATTGGTGTGACCAAGACTAACAAATAGTTGCCACGGAAATGGACAACTTTCAAGTTCAACAGATATTTGGGACACAAGCTTGCCTGTATGAGTTAATTGAATGTTTTTCTTTTGGCAATTTAAAACTACTTTAACTATATCATTCTCATTAATATTATAATTAAGATGAATATCGTGTCCTACTCCTTTCTGACACATAATAGCGTTTGTTTGTGCAACTGATTTTTTATCATTACACTCAACTGCATTTGCTATACCATCAGAAAACAACCAGCCATTAGCCGACGATGATGAAAAGGGATTGGCTCTCATTGGTTTTAACAATGATGTAATACCCAAAAAGATCCATTTTCTAAGGCGTTCCAATTTTTGAACATGAATAGAAATTTCATGAACACCATCTAAATATATATTTGTACCATAAACACTTGGATGAGTGCAATCCATACCTTTATGAATAGCTATCTGACCATTACATTCTAGTTTTATATCACCGCAAACTTTGCTAAATTTTTCCTTTCCTGATTGTAAATTCTGTTGTGTTATTGGATTCCATATCAATTTAATGGGATTTGGAACTGATGAACCAATATCAATACCAATGTTATCAGATATATTTAATTTTTCTCTCCTTCTATATAATTCGTTTTTCCATTCATTTATATCCGTTTCAACATAATCATCATTTTCTCGTCGCTGTTTTAACTCGCTCGATAATACACGAAAATCATTTTCTGCCTCTTCCTTCTTTTGATAGATAATTTGTTCAACAATATCTCGCGCTTCCTTGGCAGCTATTTGAATACTATTTATTGAATCATTTTCCCATTTATTAATTTGATCTAGTAACGAATTTTGAGACAATACATTTGTCATAGTCTGGTGTAGTTGCTGAAGCATTGAGTCATGTTCACACATAATATTATCGAGGAGATTTGTAATTTCTTGACGATGTTCATTAGAATGTTTTCCACAAAACAGTTGTTTACATCCTTGACACGCAAATATACCAATGTGTTTTGCACAATTTGGATTAGCGCAAGGTATTTTAGTAGCCATCTGACAAAACAATCTAAAGAAAGAAAATTTTAACCGTAATCTTATCTCTAACAAATTCAAACAAAATAACAATCCAATATTTTATAGAATTTAAACTAGATAATAATTATTTTACAGACAAATCTGAAATTCAATAAAATTTTAGATTTATCTGATTAAAACTGGAATGCATATTTTGACTTATTGTGGATAAAAGTAGAATCGAGATAAATCTAAGATATGACCAGTGAGACTGAAATTTCGATACAAAACTGATGATCATAATCTTAGTTTCTCTCGTGACGAGTAATGACTTACTATGAAACTATTAGTAATAACGCAACATCATTTCTCTAGCCTATACCCCGTACTGCTCTACCTAACTGCGACACATGAAAGTCGTTGTGAATGTAGTGTGAGACTATATAAATAGTTTCAGGTTATAGTAAATCAGCACTCGTTCTAATTGATCTTTTGTTTTGTGAGCCGATTTAAAAAGAGAATATTTATTTTATACTTTTATCTCATACTACTATTTCATCTTTTATCATTTTTATCGAAAATTTGATTTTATCTTTGAAGATAAAGTATTTTTATGTATTGTTTCAAATAACTGATATGTCAGTAGTGGCTTCTTCATCATCTACCGTAATGTCTTCTTCTGCTAACACTTTAACTCTTTCTTCTATCTATAAAATATATTTCTTCCTTCCAAGAAAAGTATCGAGGAAAAGCATATGTAAGAAAAGAAACGTGTGATAAAATATTGAAAGGGTTATTACTACAGAAAAGTAAGTCTTCGGAATCATTTTCTACAAAATTTGTATTTTGAACAAGAAAAATGTTATAATTGTAGAAACTGATATTGTTTGTTGTGAAAGAAGAAAAAAAGTTGTGCATTTATGAACCATTTTTTTTGTAATGAAAAAATGGTATTTAAATGTGTTGCATAGTAGGCGAACAATAAACTTAAATGAAAGTAATTCCCATTCTTTGTGGGTACCAAGGATCGTTGTTGAAATATTTTGGAAACATTGTCTTCCATGTGAGTTTCGAAAAGTATTAAAACAGCCAACAGTTTCAAAACCAGTTATATCACTCGGTGTTATGACTCGGTTACAAATTGTTCTAGTGGGTATGAGATCAGATATTGTTTTTTCAAAGTTGTTATTGTTGGATATTACATTGTATTAACCATTTTTCAAAATTCACTTGGGGTTTTATCCATTAATAAATAAACTGACTACGGACCTAGTTACCAAACATTGTCAGTTATTTTTTACTTTCGATTCACCCACGTCTATTACATTCGGATAATGGTTCAGAGTATTTTGTTGCAAAAGTTATTCTGGCATTAAAAACAAGTTTTTTCTGATCTGTGTTTTCACAAGGGGATATTGAGTTTATCGTTGGAGGAGTGGTTACAAACGAATGGTACAACATATTGGTCCGAAAATTTATTACGTGTTCTTGTATCAATACAAGAACATCAGAAACTAGTAAAGTCAAGGTTGTTATGTTTGATCAATGTCCTCGGTATGATTCCGAATTTTGAAAAATTGAAAAAGATGAAGATATTGTTGACGAACAAGTCTCTACACCAGTCAAAAGTGTTCTAGAAAATGTTACTGGTGGTACATTTAAAATAATTGAGCATATAATAGACAATATTGATCAACAAAAATTAATTAATAATTCAAACATAACTAGTTTCTCTGTTACTTACAATAATAAACCTTTCTCATTCTGTTTTCAATTGTCTTGTTGATTTATTATCATCAATTCGTTATAGTTCACTTCAAATGCCCATTGTCTGTTCAAAAACCATGTATCGTTCGATTCGTCGACATCTCTTCATCCAGCAACAATAAAACTTTATCAATCAAATAATTCTTTAACCTTTGGTTCTATCACTCGTTTGAATAATGATAATAACACTATATTTTCATATCAACCATTAGTTTATTGCACGATTATCTGATAGAATCCCACCGTTACGATGTATCGCTACTATATCGTTGTTCGATCAAGCCTCACAGGGTGCAACAAACGTAAACGTAAGGTGTGTGGCGCATGCTGTACCTTATCTAGGTTAGCTATAAACACCGAAAACCATAAATGTTACGAGAAAAAGATGTAATAAATTGCACAAAGTCCGGTTTTTCGATGCGTAGTAAGAAGGGAAGTGCAAACAAACTACAAAAATTAAATCTTGCAAACGAAATAAAATCGGGAGACTGGAAGTATGACGACATCCAGCAGCGGTACAAATACAAACATGGGAAGAAAAGTAAAGTCAATAAAGAAAGGACCATTCAAGCACTATGTAACCAACTTTTTGCTTGTTTTGACTCCCTCCCCTCCTTCCTACAGAATAGGCAACGGCGCGGATATTTAACCAAAAAGAGAAAGTTCGCATTTTTCGATTTCAAATAGTGATTAATATTCTTCAAACTGTCAGCTATATTTTTCCCCAAAACCTTTGGTTCGAGTCATGCAGTAGTAATAAAACTCAAATAGGAAAAATGGTCATAAAATCAATATGTCTGATAATATTCGAATGTTTTGAGCATGTGAAACACTTGTTTGAACGAAGTAATTTTATGCATAAATCTTCATTTGATTACGGGTACTTAAAACAAAGAATTATATTATTTGAATCGAAGATGTCAGAGAATACTCATGTTTCCCACGGTAAAAAAATTGCACAAAACATATCTTCACTATAGTTAATTTCTATTCTTCCAACGAAGCTCAAACTTTTCAAAAATCTCCTTCGAGATATATCACACATACAACATCAGAATATCGGTGCATATTTGTTCATAATCTGTACAACGGTATTTATAAAAATTCAAGGGTTTTCAAGTAAAATCTATTTTTTTCTATTAAAAATATGCTTCCAATCAAAGCAAATGCCATATTTGGGATCAGCAAACTGCATCGCATAATCAGAGTTCGTACTATCCACTTTCAAAAAACAGTAACAGGAGAGGATTTTTCTCCGTCGACAAGACAAGAAAGTTAATAATTTTTTTTCAAAAATACAGGAAATAAGCGAATGCAGAAAAGGGACAAGTGAGATTTATTATTGTTGTTTTCTTCTATCTTCCTCTTTTTCTATACGTAACAACAACTAGAGATGAGTGAAACCAGCCTTTTTTGGTCCCGTTTCCGTAGAAAATTGTTTGTTTCCGATGAAAATTTTGGCCATAGAACATGAAAAAACTTTCCCCTGTTGCCGAAAAGTTCAATGCAGCTTTTTACTATTGTACTGCATTGTAGAGCTTTCTACAGCCTTGCAAGAAAAAATTTAACAGTAAAACGAGTTTGAAACTCACATTAGAATTTGATTCTACAACGAAAGTTTTACTTTTATAGAACTAGTTTTCTTGTGCCTGATCTCGGTCCTAGTCCCGCCGGAATCGGGACCGTCCTGCCCATGTCTAACAACAACATCATACTTCACTTTACTTTTGTTTATTCTTCACTGCTTCTTTTTCATTTTTTTAACTTCTTTCGTTTAATATTTCGACATGAGTGTGTAGAATTTATACAGTCAGTCTTTATGAGGACATTCTGGTCCTGAGTGTAAACGTCATTTATCTTAGTCTTCTCTTCTCTTGATTGACTGAAAGAAACTGAAGTAAGAATATTTGTCTAGCTGGCTGACTGGATTCAAGTAAGAGGCAGAGGCTTTCTAACAGATTTCACCCCAGTAAACAGTAAGACTACAGAAAAACGTCAAAATACAGGAAAAACAGGATCTTCTCATACAAAAACAGAAAAATACGAAGCCTGCATAATATATAACACAAATTTAACAAGAAAAAAAAGTTCAGAAGTCAAAGAATTTCTAAGAGTCCCCTCAGCCAATTCTGGCCGGAAAAAGCACTTTTTATAGTCATTTTGAGATATAGGAAGTCAAACTGAACTAAAACGAATCATTTTTGACAAAAATGTCCGCATGAACTGTCCTTTGTCCAAGTTAAACGTTTGCACATTTTATATTTGCAAATTCCTGTGCAAAATGTAGACAAAATTTGGTTCGATTGTTACAAACGATAGATTTCACAGAAATTTTTATAGAAATTCCTCGAACTCTATAAATGATCTGTGAACTATCTGCTGATATTCTATAACAATCTGCGACTGATCTATGCAGCTTTTGAAGAATTCTCTGCCACAAATCTTCTCTACATTCTATAGACTTCTCTTGGAGGTCTATTCAAAGTTTTATACAGATTTTTCTTGCACATATCAATTCAGTTGAGAAATTTTAAAAGCGTGTTCGGCCAAAACTGATCGCAAATTCTGACTCTCCGTAGTTGGGTACCATGTACGCATCAAGTTTTGAATTGGGATACTACCGAAAGAGTTCCTCCATTGTTTTGCAAAAGAATTTTTTACGAAGTTCTTGGAGACGGGCTGAATGAGAGAGACTAAGAAATTTTTTCTAGAGTATCGCGATTCAAAACTTATTGCGTACAAGGTAATCGACTATAGAGAGTTCGAATCTGCAATCAGTTTTGACCAAACACGTTTTTAAAATTACGCGATTGAATTGATATGGAGAGCTTCTCCGGGTGTGTCAACAGAAAAACAAAATTAAAATAAAAAATTAAATGAAACTATGATGTTCATTTTAATAAGGAGTCACACATAATCTTAAAGATATGCACTAAAGTGAACAAAGGTTATGCGAGTGTCTCATCAGCTTTTCTCTTTTATGCGGATGACAAGAAATGCTGCAAAAATTAATATGAACAATAAAAGAGTTCATTGTTACCAACTATTGACGCCTATCTATCATTCATGTTTTTATTGATTATGAATTGGAAGTTCCCCTTTAAATAAAATTATGATTAGTTACGCATACGCCATGACAAATTTTGACAAACTCTCAGAAAAGCTGTGACAATCAAATAAACATAATATCGTATAAATACGTTGTGCTTTTCAATCTCTCTGCCACGATATGGCTTCATGGTTTGTTCGAGGAAACATCGATTTTTCGACGT